CTAGTGTTCGTTCGGCAAACCATTTTTTTTTCTTTTTCTCTTTTTATTTAATTTGTCTTGTTGAACATCAAGAAATGCAGCAGTGCAGTATTTTTTGTTTTCAAATGCCGAAACTATATCATTAATAACCCTGTGACATTGCTCAGGGGTCCCGTGACCCCTCCTGAATCCGAATTGGTATTCAGGAATGATGGAAAGTTCGTCCAAAATTGGCAACATTCTCTTCAATAGTATTTTTTCAAACACTTTCGAGAAAATTGTCAACAGGCTAATGGTATGATGTCAATTCCGTTTCTATTTTGTTTGGCTTTAGGATAATAATGATCTCTGCACATTTCCATTGACTTGGAAAGTGGTCTAGTCTGAGAATCGCCTTAAATATAAGAGTGAGAAACCCAATGCATTTTGGAGGTAAACTTTTTAGGGTGATACCGTCTATTTTATCAGGGCCTGGTGCTTTCTATTGTTCAAGTATTTGATTTCTGTCACAACTTCTTCATATTTAATGCTTTTAATAGGCAAGCTCATTTGGCAGGGTGACTCAAGGAATTTTTCTACTTCAGTCTCTGTTGTATAATTATTTATATCGTTTGGCTGAAACACAGAGTGCAGATGTTGTGCAAATGCTTCCGCTTGTTCATTATTAGACCTACACCAANGTATTTTTTGTTTTCAAATGCCGAAACTATATCATTAATAACCCTGTGACATTGCTCAGGGGTCCCGTGACCCCTCCTGAATCCGAATTGGTATTCAGGAATGATGGAAAGTTCGTCTAAAATTGGTAACATTCTCTTCAATAGTATTTTTTCAAACACTTTCGAGAAAATTGTCAACAGACTAATGGGACGGTATGATGTCAATTCCGTTTCTATTTTGTTTGGCTTTAGGATAATAATGATCTCTGCACATTTCCATTGACTTGGAAAGTGGTCTAGTCTGAGAATCGCCTTAAATATAAGAGTGAGAAACCCAATGCATTTTGGAGGTAAACTTTTTAGGGTGATACCGTCTATTTTATCAGGGCCTGGTGCTTTCTATTGTTCAAGTATTTGATTTCTGTCACAACTTCTTCATATTTGATGCTTTTAATAGGCAAGCTCATTTGGCAGGGTGACTCAAGGAATTTTTTCTACTTCAGTCTCTGCTATATAATTATTTATATCGTTTGGCTGAAACACAGAGTGCAGATGTTGTGCAAATGCTTCCGCTTGTTCATTATTAGACCTACACCAAGTTCCGTTGCTTTTGCGAATATTTATGTTTCTTTTAGCTGGTTTCTTTAGGTATTTAGTCGCCCTCCATAGATTGTATTCATTGTTGCTGGAATTAGGGTCTAAGTTTCTCAGATACGCAGCTAGAGATTTATTGCGTAAGTTCGACTGCAGTTGTCTAAGCTCAGATGCAGCCTTGCTGTACAATCTTTTGTCAGCAGGGCAGTGAGTTTCTTGCCAGCGTTTTCGCAGATTCCTTTTATTTTGTATTTTTTGTCGAAGTTCGGTTGAAAGGTACAATTGGTTTGGTTGTTGATGATTAAGAGCATGATTCGTGTTTCTGTAGCTCGCATTATGAATTGTATTTGTAAAAAGCTCCACAGCATAGTCTATCTCCTCTCCTGTTTTTAACGAAATGTCCAGGCTTATAGCTGAGTCTTGTAACGGACACGGGAAGTGTCGTCTCGTCAGCACTCTCTGTCTACTAAAGGTTGGCCGGCTAGGCTCAGGGAAAATGGAACTTAAGGTCCACTACCTACTGTGAAGAGCAAGGTGGTTGTGCTCTTCCCTCTTGACCCACCCTCCATGTAGAATAACAAAAGAATATGCCATTATGCTTCTACCCAAAACCTGCCGCTGCTGCCTATGTGCCTAAGGAACCCCTCAAAAAGTCAGATTAGAAATTCATGTTAAATCGTTATGATTTTACTTTGACTTGTATGACTTCAGGTTGTTTGTAACCCCCATTATTTCTACCCTAACCCTTAAAACTATTTTTACTGCATGTGTATATATATGTGGGACTAATTTAATACCTAGGAATTCACGAGAATGATCAAATATGAATAAAAATAATATAATCAAAATATAAAGTAAGAATGAATTAATTAAATGAATTAAATGGCATAATTATAGTGATTGTAGTTAATAATAATTCATTTTATATATGGTTAAGCATGCATGTCTCACTGTGTAGACGCTATTCTCCTGACCCGGAGTGTATGTGTATATATGTGTGTCTACTTACAGACTTTTAAACTGTTTTTAAGCTGTTGGTGTCGTTGGGCCCAATTTCACGTTCGCAATAAAAACTGTTAAAGAAATGTAGAAATATGCAAAATAACAAGAAGCGTGATGAAGAGGTATTTAACCAATACCCTTCCATTTACACAATGAGACCGATGATGCACCCTTTTAGAATCTATTATTAACTAGGCATAAATTCCATGTTTTTCTTCTTCTATTTCTAAGTTAATGTCTAGGAATATTTAATATTATTGAACAATTTTCTTTTCTATTTTTTTTCTATCCATAATTTTTCATTACATTTTCTTTTCTAGATTTTTGTGATTTACTTTTCTTTCCTTAAGTGGCTTTTAGAATGTCGGCATCGAACAATTTTAATAACCTGAGAGAAGGAGAGAATAGGTGACATACGGTCAGGTGGGTCTATTTAAGTGCGCATAGGTGTTCAGCCGCAAGGGCAATGACCGCTGAGCTAATTTTTCCAAACCCTACATTTGCAAGCACCAACATTTTCTTTACACAAGGCGCGGTGGTTTTATATTATCGTTGTTGTTGAGCGGCTTAGTTGCGCGTGAGATATATATGTATATAAACAACTCGGTCCCGATCGCCAAGTCCATCCGTTTCTCGGCCTGCAGGCAAGGTCCGGTGGCACCAAAAAGAAGGACTGATGATCGTGGTACTGGAGCGGATTACCCTCCGAGACCGAGGGTCAGGCCAGGTCAGCAATTTCCTGTCACACGTGGATCACAACCTATGTACAGTACATACATGGAATTATGTAATAAGGTCACTTTTTCATTTTTTTTCTTCCGTACCAACATGTACCGTACCAACTTTTATGGTTTTGCAAAATTTTCACCACGTTTTTTTTTATGCATATTTTCTACACGCACATTAATTCAGTCTTCCAACTTTGAATGCAATTTTTGTTCTGTGCAGCATGCACTTAGCCTAACTATTTTACCCCTCCAAAAGCTGTGTATGAGAGAGCTAAGAAGGTTCTCGAAGGGCTAGCCGTAAGCTATGCTTGCGGAGAGAAAAGCTCACATGTGAACGGCGCTCGCACGAGCAATTTCGAAAGAAAGAGCTTTTCAAGATAAAAGCTTCTGATCTTGGCTGTGGGCTCTCGCTGGAATGCGTACAGTGGGGGAGGTTCAAAATTTTCTCGATAAAATTAGAAGACTGTTCCCAAAAAAAATTTGTCTTAATACAATTTTTGAACAGACATTCTAACTTTTTGTTTTTGGTCTGCAACCTTCACAGTCTAAATAGCTTTTAAATGCGTTAATGTCTGTAGAGGCTGTTATTACTTTATAGGGCTTTTCCAATATATTGACTATTGTGCTGTAAGTTGCTATTATTGGAGAATGATCTGAGTTAAGGTCAAAGCTCTCCATTACTCGCATGTGTGCTTGTGGGATTCCAGAGAATACTACGAAATCAATCAAATCTGGAATTTTTCGACTATCAGTAGGCCAGTATGTGGGCACACCAGTTGACAAAGTCGTTATGTTATTGTTTTGTATGCATTTGTATAACTGCGATCCCTTCGGGTTAGTTAATCTGGATCCCCACCATGGATGTTTGGCATTGAAGTCGCCTCCCACGATAAACTTTGTTCCCAGTAATTGGAAAAAGTTTTGAAAATCGAGTTATTTTATTGTGAATCTTGGTGGGAGATAAATCGCTGTTATTGATACATCTGCATGCATACATTTTATCTGAATTGTGGCAGCCTGCATAGCGTTTTCCCGTTTTGTCCATGATTTGAAATTTACGGCACTGCTTGACAATAATTGCAGCACCTCCATGAGCTCTATCTGATGGATGGTCAGCTCTTACTGTGTCGTATCCAATAACTTAAAAAAAAGATTTCTTAGTGAAGTGTGTTTCTGAAATAAGCTGTTGTGTCATTGTTGTGGCATTTGTTTTTAAAAATAAAGCTATTTCATTTACATGGTTGGAAAGCACATTGGCATTCCAAATTCCTAAGTTTCGATTTATTTGCATAGCTTATTTACAAGTAACATTATCATGTTAAGTAAATTATTGGTATGTTGAGATTGTTTTTCTAGAAGCTGTTCTATTCTTTCTACAGACTTGTATGATTGGTAATATTTGGGTTGTTGGGTCGAATTATTAAACGGAGCAAATGATTGATATGTACCATGGTCATTTTTATTTTCTATGGTCTATTTTTTTTTTTTTTATAAGATCCTAATAGACTTTATACCCTTTGTAACTTGCAGCATGATCTTCGTTGCAGTTGGCACATTTTGCTGGTTGCTCTTTATCTTTTGGGCAAACGTTGCTGGGATGGTTAAAAGAGCATTTCACGCATCTGTGAGTTTTGGCACAATATGACTTTGTGTGTCAAAATTCCTGGCAACGATAACACTGAACGATTTCTTTGGTTTTACGGGGTGGTTCTATATTAACAACTGCGTTACCAATGAGTTTAACTTTGTATATATCTAAGTTCTTATTGTTGGGCTCAATGTCTAAGTAGAAAAAATACAATGGCTATTTGGTTACACGACTTTTAATATTACCAATGTTTCTAACAGCTTGACCTTTGGAAATATAATGATTTAGAGATTGTTACGCCCTGAAAACTGATTTGGTAATGATCAATAATTCGATAGATGTGGTCTATGGGTTTACAGGTTTCCAGGCTTGCTTGATTGGTAAAATTCTTTAAATAAAACGAAATCAAAGCAACCAAAAGATATCTGTCCCGAATAATTTACAACCCCGAGCATTCATACAAATATATTTTTCCTACAATATGTCTGCTGAAATTGAAGAGATTCTAAAGCGCTACGGCAACTATCCGAATGTGGCGGGCATCATAATCGTGGATGCCTTTGCCATACCCATCAAGACCACCATGGAGTACACACTGACCGTCCATTATGCCGCCCTGGCCCATAATCTGCTGATGAAGGGCTCCAAGATGACCCAGAACCTGGATGCCTCGAATGAATTGACAGCTTTACGCTTGCGCACCCTCAACCACGAGGTGATGATTGTACCTGAAGAGAATTTCTTCATCATTGTGGTGCAGAAGCCGGGCCAATGATTTTACTTTGTTACTTTTTGAATGCAGGCAGCACAAAACGTGAAATAAACCATGTTTTGAATGCCCAATGCAATTACCTTCTTTTATCTAGTTTTAATTAAGGTTCTCAAGTGCCTAGAGGGGTAACCATCTTCGGAGATGTGAAATATGTGAGGAGTTTGAAGGAGTATGTAACTGGGAACTTGGCGCTAATTGCCGCAGATAAATATACGTCGCGTCGCCATAATTACGACAGACAGATTACGGAGGCGCACTTAACAGCCCGCCGTAAAGTGTTTGCCGGTATCTATCTCTAATCCGGCAAGCAAAAAAACCAGTACCACGGAAGGCACTGCCACTGGAAAATGCTGCTCCTTCTCGATTTTAATTATTCGGCGACGTTCAGCCCTTTGCATATTAATTGCTGATGGCTCTAGGTTGAGGTACATGGGGGTCCTTTCCCCTCCCTTCCCATCCATTCACTTTGGTTTCCATTATGGCGATTCTAAAATTATTTCTCCTGAGCACAAACTTGGCCGGCAATGTGGTTGGCCCAGATAAGCTGTCCAAATCGGTTAAAACTCACCTTTTTCTTGAGGAATTTGCTTCTTCTCCCCAAAGAAGAGGTGCAACAATAATTTCATTTTTTTGCCAAATGTTCACATCAAACTATCCTTGAAATCGAACAAACTGTCAGCAGAATCGACCTCTAAAATTTTGCACATGAAATATTCATTCGTAAACCAGATTCCAGAGTGTAAAGAGCTCTAGCTAAAATTCTAAAAATTCAAAATTTTTAGGAACAAAACTAAAAAACCTTCCTAATTTTATTTCTTAAATTTTTCTGATTAGAAAAAAAGTTGTAATTAAATTCTTGTTATGGAGTACGGAAATGGTAACGGCATCAACGTGCAATCTTATCAGTCGATGCAGGGCTATGGCATGTGCGTTCCAGATGGCCAGCCACCAGAGGTAAGTGCCTGAAGGATGCACTTCAGGAAAAACTAATCTATGGGAGCTTCTATTACTTGTATAGGGATATGGAATGAACTACGATGGCATGGGGCAAATGTCGGGACGTAGTCAGGAGTATAGCTATGGCCAGGAGGAGTCTCGTGGCCAGGCAGGCACTGCAGCCTTTGGTGGTCCTGGCTATCGTAGTCCCCTGCGCTACAATAAGATGCTCAAAGAGATGAACTCTCGCAATGGCCTTTAGTAAGTGGAATAAATATTGTGTAATTGATAGATCCCTTTGTTAATTTTGTGATCTTTTCTTGCAGTTCTCCCGCAGAGCAGCAGCGTGTTGGCCAGGGTAGTGGGCACGGCGACTACGGTTATAACTCTTTGCCTGGTGTGGGTGATGCCGAGGCCCAACAGCCGCGTGACAATGGCAATTCCTACTACTAAACAAGCAAACAAGAAAACAAGTCCATTGGAAATTGTATTTGATATTTTGGTTATTGGCAAACATGGTACATTTAAATACAAATTGTTTATTAAAGAGGGGATACATTTACATGTTTGCTTGGTGTTTGTGGGAGGGTGAATAGAAATTGAGTGTAATCAAAAACCAGCTAAAAGTATAGATAAAGACGATAGCGTGCTCGGTTGAGTGCCAACAGTGAGCTGTAGCTGGGAGCGACTATAAGCTGTTAACGTAGATCTGCCATTGGTATTATTTTCTCTGATAATCTCTAATTTTCAAGGGAATATTTTTTTTTACGTTTGCCCCCTACCTACCTACCACTACAACACATTTTAATGTTTAATTTATTGTACTCATACCCATCTAGTATTCCTTTTGTCTGTGCACTCTGTTGTGTGCCCTTGTCCCATTCGGGTAGTTCTTATTCCAGTTCACCCTTCTCCCGTACGTTCAAAAATCTAGTACAATTTCTTGAATATTTTCGAACTTTTTCGCCTCCTTAAAAAAGTCAAATTTTCGACCTTTATATTTGAATAAGAAATTAATAAAAAATGTTTTCATTGAGATTGACTTTGCCACATACACTCAGCTGGCTGACTCGATCAACATGTACCCGAGGCATTCCATCCACCCGCACAGATGGGTGGCATGCAACTAGCTGGAAACTTGCAACATGGGCACAATGGAGGACTTTTTGATCAGCGAAATCGTGGAAACGTTAGTCAACACAACGTCGCGAACTTTGGAACTCAGGGTTCCACTGTTAATTTCGGCATGACTTTACCTCAAGGAACTCTCAACCTTGGCCAAGGCCAAAGCAACCGTGGTTGATCTTCAGCAATCCAAATCCGATGGGTTTCCACAACGATCCCAATATTCCCTTGGGACTGGAGGACCTCTCCGATAACTTTCGTGCCCATCCCAATGGCCCAATTTACCGTCAGCCCATAAGTGCTGCCCGAATGGCATGCACGTCAAATGTTGGCCCGCAATGGTTTGCAGTAAGTCAACACAAAATATTTCTCTAATATCTGATGTACATATATTGAAAATATTTCTTAACTGGTCCTAATGTTACGCCACGGTTGAGCGGCGGCGATGCCAGCATAACTATTCCCGTTCTTGAACGTTAGTCATCATTCTTAATATCATTTTAAAGATTTATCCATGTATAATAATCTTTGTTTTCTGCAGGCCTCAGCCCAAATAATGACAATCGCGGCAGTCGACGTCGACTCTTTTGGTAAAACCATTTGATCTGGTGATTACCAACTTGATTTACGAATCTAAATTAATCAATAAATGTTCGAAAAGACGAAATTTTGATGTTTAGCTACCTTGGTTGAATTTATTTTGTGTATATGTAGAACCCAAGTATATGTGGTTCTTGGAAGTATATTTAACGGAACAAGCATTCATTTTTTATAGTTCTAGGAACCATTTCAAACTGTGTGTGTATTCCACAGCAGGTATTAATTTTGACGCCACAATGACGTCCGGGGTGCTGGGTACCTTGGACAAAATCTATTATGTTCTCTCTTCTATAGAATTATTCTTCTATAAGGAAGTTATATAATTCTAATTATGAATTCTAAAATTGTTTCGATATATATCGCAGACTTTTAGTGCATTACATTACTTTTACTTTTCAAAGCACCTTTAATCCGAGCATCGATTTGAAAAGTTATTTTAAAATATCTAAAAATCTCTCACCCTAAAAAGAGTTGGAGAAATGAAAGAAAAGAAGAAATAGTTGATTTTGCTTTGAGGGTAATTAACGTGTGTTTTATAGCCATTTGCAACAGCAAAGAAACACACGCAGCGCCACCATCTACCCCATCCACAAACACACACACAGCCCATCATGCACATCCACCCACAGGAGGCAGAAGGAGGAGTACAAGTGGAGAAGGTTGGAGCTCCAAGGCTCAAGGCCCCCAAACCAAAGAGAATGCAATGAAGGATTAAAATAAGAAAGATGTGCAAATAAAATATTTTACAAAGCGGACAACGAGGACAACTTTTTGCCCAGAGATTCGGATTGGTTGCCGGCAAGGGGCGGCGCGGGGAACGGGTAGTGCTGTGAGTCCGAAATGCGAACGGAACATGTCGATGTGTGAGTCGGAGTGTGGGCATCGAGACAGGGACAGGGACAACAGACAGCAGAAAGAGACGGATACACAAACAGTAGAAAGAGACAGCCTAGAGAAAATGAAGGCAAACAATGGCAGCAGCCGACGCCGCCGCCACCGAACGGCTCTTCTCTACCGCTTGGGGATCGTGGCGTCGTTTTGGGAGTCGGTACTGAGGCCTTCGTCCCGGAGACCTGGGTCGACACTGCATGGTAGCATTGTCAAAATAAATCAATCGGTTTTATGTTGCTTTCTGGAATTTCTGTTTTGTCGTTTTGCTATTTTGTTGCCCCACCGCCGCTCCGTCGACATCAGAGGAAAGCTAAAGCTGCTCCCCCCCCCCACCACTTATTACTGGCATCAGATTCTCATAATCGTTCACACTTCCTTTCTATGTCTCTCTGGTATGGGAGAACTTTGGTTTTGTGGCTGGTGAGAGGAGAGCCAAGGATGCCAGAGATGGTTTAACGAAACTTTGCTGCATCTCTTTGGACGCATCTAAAGTGATTTCCTTTTAGGATTTTCCAAAACTTTTCACCCAAGGTAAGCAAACATTGAACACACCCCGTACCCACCACTCATGACTTGGGGGTGTATTTTTGGCTTCTGTTTGCCACATGTGTGAGTACCCAGTCCGAATCCTTCTTGGCCATCCTGCGCTCTAATGAAGCAGCCTCTCCTGCTGCTGCTCCTGCTTCTGCCTCAACTCTTTATTCCCTAATAACTTTTAAGCAAGTGACTTTGCAACGCTCACAAAATGTCCAAATTCATCATCTTTGTGTTGGCATTGACTGTGTGGCGCAACCAGAAAGACCATCCCAGGGATTGGAGGGTGAAAGGATTGTCGGGAGTCCTGTTTGGTCATGTGGCCAAGAGTTAAGGGATTTGGCTTTCATGTGGACTTCCTCGGGGTCTTAAGGCGATGTGTGTGTGTGTGCTATAAGCACTACATTAGTAAATTAAAGAATTTTTGCGTGACGAGAGAAGTCTGTAAGATAGGAACAGGAATCAGTAATCCAGCTGTTTATTTGTTGACTTCATAGGGATTTATTTGTAGATTCATTGTAGAATGAAGTGAAAGCTAGTTTAAGTTTAAACGAGAAATGACGTGTGAGACGCTTCTGACGCGTCAAAACTTTTACACCCGGTATACCTTAGCGGTTCTTTGAAATTTTAAATTATACATTTTACACTTTTTAGGACTCCCACCAATCTTTTCACCCTCCAATCCCCGGGCTGGTCTTTTTGGTTGCGCCACACAGTCAATGCCAACACAAAGATGAAATTTTAAATTTTACACTTTTTAGACCCGGTACTCGAAGAGTAACAGGGTATATTGTAATTGTGCGAGTAACGGTTGTATGTAACGCCCAGAAGGAAACGTTTCCGACCCCATAAAGTATATAGATTCTTGATCGGCATAAATAGCCGAGTCGATAGAGCCTTGTCTGTCTGTCCGTCTGTCCGTCCGTCTTGTTGAGCGCCTGGAGCTCAGAGACAAATGTTGCATCCAGACTTATGTATGCTCACA